AGAACGTAGATGAAAAATGAAAAGTTAGAGTATAGAAAATCAACTAAACACTGAATTAAATTAATGAAACTTTTAAAATGTTCTGAAGGTAGTCTGTTCCCAGCTATCATAAATATTAAAGGGTTCTTGAAATGAAATATGAACACCACCTTTTTTTTAAGAAACTAGCCATGGAAAAATGTTTTCATTGACTGAGGTAGTAGAAGTTTATTTCTGTCTAAAAGAAGGCTGGTGACTGGAGGTGGGTGGAAGTGGTAAATGCCACAGATTCATAGTGGGAGGGAAGAACTTAACCAAGTGTCACAGGAAATCAAAGAATTGTAGGCACGGGAATACCATTGTTTAATGGTCGAGGACAGTCAAATCCAAGCCAAAAGGTGAAAGAGGATGTAGAAAGGTCAGCCCAACTGGACCCAGGTGTGCTGAGTCTCAGAGCCCCTTTCATGATCCCAGGCAACCTTCCAGAAAGAGCAAGTAGGTTTAGATGTTTTTCTATTCTGCAAGAAGGAGACGTGGTATTTTCAGCACAGAAGACTTTAGATTAAGAGAAAACTTTATGAAGTATGTACAGGTTTGAAAATGTATAGTTTGATTTGATGGTTGTTTAAGAGGTTTTGAGGATAGAAAGCTCTGGAGAGTAGGTTAGGAAGAAGAGGGAAGGAATGGAAGAGAGCTGGGCAGTGCGTAGGGTCCTAAAGATGGGCAAGGTGGGAGAGGCAACCACAGAGGATGGGGGAGAAGGGAGAATGACAATTAAGCAGACAGGCTGAGAGTCTCAAAGGTACCATTGATCAGGGCTTACATGCTGCAGGTGACTTGAATTATAGGCTTATTCTGAAGTCTTGATTACCTGTCTGAATGCTAGTCACAGCTCTTCAGCTGCTCAGAAACTTATGTTATTGAGCTTGTACTTTTTATCAGGTTACAAGCAGAACATTCTGCCAAGGAGAATAAAACAGTTTTAACTACAGTAACATCATCAGAGCAGATAATCTTAAAGTTTTAAGAAAATCAAATCAACAAGCCATTCTTTCACCCTGTTTCTCCATCCCTGCTTTGAAGACAGGGCATTAAATTTCAGTCTGCCTTTTATTGTGGGCTTTGTAATCAACACTGGATTTCTTATAAATAGAAAGTTCTTGACCAGTAAAGAAGATATTTTGAAATTTAAAACTTTTGACCTCTCTTCACTTGAGACACATACCCTACTAAAGGAAAATTTGCTGTACTTCATAGACATGATTTTTTTTAAGACAGTTGATGACCTAACAGTGATTATGACATAGAATTTGCTTTTGTGGTGACTTTTACAAGATAGCAAGTCACACTATGCCCTTGACCACAAACATCAGATATTTCTGTCACATTGGAGTTAGTGCTCTTTCTGAAAAATTTATAATCAGTTCAAAAGCTGCAAAATAAAATCAATTCATTTTGTTTATTCATATACAAATTCAATTCAAAATGCTTATTGTCCATGTGGATTATTCACATAATCTATAATGGATTGTCACTATGTCAGTACATCAGCAGAAAAATTATATAGTGGGGACTGAACATTCAGATTCACCACTGGAATGCCCCATCTTTAATAGTTTCAACTGTTTATGCAATATTGCTGCTGAATTTATAGTTTATAGTTCACTGTCAGCTGAATACAAAACACCAATAACACCAGAGATACATGCTGTGATGTGCCTGTTGGGTTTGGGTACAGGGATTGGTGGAGAAAAGGTGGGGCCCACAATTTCTGGCCTTGTATGTAGGCTTATGATCCCCTGGGGAAGACAGAAGATACACCAAAAGAAACATTAAAGTCATACTTTATTTAGTAGAGCTTTTCATCTTAGTTTTCTTTGGTGGTTGGAAATCAAGCTTCAAGAAGAAATATTCTTATTCTTATTATATTCAGATATATCTTCCTATAGGGAACACTTCACAGAAACTATCTCATTTAACTACCATAACACTGTCTATGAAGTAGGTACTGTTATCCTCATTCTACAGATAAGGAAATTGGAGTTCAGAGAACTTAGGTTACTTAACCAGCCATTAACAGCTCTCCTCTATTTTTTGTAAAAATAGGCATTTTTGTCATCTGAGATGAAAGTACGTATGTATAGCTTAAAATATTCTTGTTCCTGTGTAGTTGAAAAAACTCCCAATTTGAATATATTTACTGGCCATATTTGAAACACTTCTTATATAGTCCATCTATATCTTTTCATAATCTTGACATATCCATTTGAGAGGATACTTGGCCTCCAGATGGAGAAACAAATATAACTTACAGGATGGAGAAACCAGAGGCCTGCAGAACTTGATGTGGATCTTCAAGGAGAATTCTAATTATAAGGACCTCTTCAGTCTAGATGCTTTTCCCTTCTTATAAGTCACTGGCTGTGTGAAATGTGGTGTTTTACATAGAAAGTGGTGTTTTGGATGAATCGTTTGAAGCTCCATGATTTCCTGCAAAAGCATTTTGTGGAAAATTAGAAGATGCTTGCTGCTGCAGATGAGAATCATAGAACAACACAAGGGAATATTAGAGCAGTAATATTTTAAAGAATTAGGACACAGGAGGAAAGAGGTGTGAAGGAAAGGAATATACACACACGTACCCACACATTTGGACATCTACCATATACACATAACATGTAAACATAGGTACATTTCAGGCAAGGGGTCCTGATAGCTTTGTTTATTAATTTAATTAGCGGTCTTATGGAAAATAAGGAATTAATTAATTATTTAAAACTTTTAAAAAATATTTATTTATTTACTTAAAAGGCAAAGTTATAGAGAGAGAAAGGGAAAGAGAGAGAGAGAAAGAGAGAGAAAATCTTCCACCCGCTGGTTCACTCCCCAAATGGCCCCAATGACTGGGGCTAGTCTAGACTGAAATCAGTAGCTCAGAACTCCATCCAGGTTTCCCACATGGATACCAGGGACTCAAGCAGGTGAGCCATCTTCTACTGCTTTCCCACACTCACAGGCAGGGAGCTGGATTAGACATGTGGAAGCCAGGACTCAAACTGTACCCCAATGTGGGATGACAGCATCATAGGCAATGGTTTAACCTGCTGTGCCACAACATTGGTCTCCATTATTTAACATTTAAAAAAGTTGTTTATTTGAGAGGCAGAGAGACAGAGAACCAGATAGGAAGACACATAGACAAAAGCAGAGAGAAATCTTATCATTGCTGGTTCACTCCCTAATACCCACAACAGTTGGGGATGGGCCAGGCCAGAGCCAGAAGCCAAGAATTCAATCTAGGTCTCCTTCGTGGTAGCTGAGACCCAAGTACTTGAGTTCTTACTTGCTGCCTCCTTGTCTGTTCATTAGCAGCTGTAATCAAGGTGGGTGCCAGTACTTGAACCCAGGCACTCTGATGTAGGATGTGGGCCACTGCTAGGTCAAATGCCTGCCCCTATTTAACGTTAAACCCCTACTATGTATAATCAGTGCACTCAGTGACTGGGATCTAGTAATAGAAGAGATGGTCTACACGAGCTCCTAGTGCAGTGTGAGAAGGGTGTTTTCTGCAGTGGTATGGTGAAATACAAGAGACATGCATAGAATTTCAGAAGACTCTCTGGGGGAGGTGACAACTGAGGTGAGTCCTAAAGAGTAGTCAATCAAAAGGGAGCAGGAAAGGGGGTGGCCTTTCTATGGCACAGCATGGAAAGGCCAAGAGCTTGAAATAACGGGTGTGCAGTTTGGAATTGTGGAAAAATAGTATTCTCTTATCCATGGTTTTGCTTTCTGCATTTTCAGTTTTGTGGTCAGATGATGTCTGAAAGTGTTATGTGGAAAATTCCAGAAATAAACCATTCATAAGTTTAAAATAAATTTTATTACAGTATGTTATAAGTATTCTATTTTATTGCTTGCTTTTACTGTTCATCTCTTACTTGCATAATTTTTAAAATATCATAGGTATGCATGTGTAGAAAAGAAAATGGTAAATATAGGGTTTATAACTGTGGTTTTAGGCATCTACTAGGGATAAGGGCAGATTTCTGTATCCCCCGTGGATTGAAGGCTGCTCTTCTAGGGTCCTTCAAAAAGTTTGTGTAAAATGGAATTAAAAGGTAAGTTTATATTGGTGCAAAAAATGTTTGAAGTTCAAGCATAATTTTTCCGTAATACTTATTTTTCATGGCCTTTTTGAAGACCATCTCTATAAAGGATTGCAACATTTTTTTAGAATTAATTAAAATAAACTTTTAATTCAGTTGTTCCATGGACTTTTTGAAGTACCTTCAAGCAGTGATGGGGGCGGGGTGTTGGAGAAGTAGGTTTGACCTAGTAGGGCTAAGCAGATGTTGACGTGTTGGTAGGACTTTATGCCTCCAGTAGCAATGGGCTTTGGCAGGGATTAAAGCAAGTGAGTGGCAAGGTCAGATTTGATTCTTAGCAGATTATTATGGTAACTGTGTGAAGAACAGTGTTTAGGTGGACAAAATCAGAATGTGGGATCCAAGTTTAGAGGTTGTAGTAACCTGCAGCCAAGGGATACAGAGGGTTTAACGCAATATTTTGCTAATGGGGATTAGTTAATATTAGTGGAAGACTAAAGCAGTGTTAAGGAGGTATAATTGGTAAGACCTGGTGTTTATTGGATGCAGACCAATGGAGCAGGGCTTCTCACAGTTTCGACGTGGGTAACAGTGTGGGCATGCAGAACTCCGTAAATATCAGATAGAGTGTGGTGGATAGGACTGATATGGCATGCTGGAGGCATGGTCATTTTAGCTTAATTTGTAAGAGTTGATCAACAGGTGGATATTTAATGAAGAGGTCTCGAGACAGATTTGGGAGATGTCAACCTAGAGGAGTGTACACTTGAATACATAACCTTTTCTAAAGCAAAGATTTCTATCTAAAAACACGCCGTCCTTCATGTGTCACTTGTTATCAGCAGCATGAGCGCATGGACTAGGAAATACGCTAGCGAAATGGCCAGTAACCACATGGCTGTTGCTTTCTTCCAGCTGTCATGCTTGCCCCGGAGGGAAACTGTTTCAGCTGACCTCGCTTGTTAAGCACCCTGGCGCTGCGGCTTTGTCCGGTTCAAGATGGCCGAGAAGGCTCCCCCTGGCCTAAACAGAAAGACTTCCAGGTCGACACTGTCTCTTCCTCCCGAACCTGTGGACATCATCAGGAGCAAAACGTGCTCGCGGAGGGTGAAGATCAACGTGGGGGGCCTCAACCACGAGGTTCTGTGGAGAACGCTCGACCGACTGCCCCGGACACGCCTGGGCAAGCTCCGTGACTGCAACACCCACGAGAGCCTCCTGGAGGTGTGCGACGACTACAACCTGGGCGACAACGAGTACTTCTTTGATCGCCATCCGGGGGCCTTCACGTCCATCTTAAATTTCTACCGGACAGGGAAGCTCCACATGATGGAAGAGATGTGCGCGCTCTCTTTTGGCCAAGAGCTTGATTACTGGGGGATCGATGAGATCTACCTGGAGTCTTGCTGCCAAGCCAGGTACCATCAGAAGAAAGAGCAAATGAACGAAGAACTGAGGCGAGAGGCGGAGACCATGCGAGAGCGAGAGGGGGAAGAATTCGATAACACTTGCTGCCCCGAGAAAAGGAAGAAGTTGTGGGACCTGCTGGAGAAGCCGAACTCCTCTGTGGCTGCAAAGGTAGGAAAAAGGGGCGTGGTTTGCCTGGACATGGTCGGAAAAGGTGGCACCCACGTCCCAGAGGGTGTCATTTTCTTTTGGTAAGGCCCACCAAGATGTGGCTACCAAATAGTAAATACTACTTTCTGAAGTTTTTTTCAGGGGTGGGACATATACAGTTATTCTTCCCATGTGATGTCATAAAATGATATTGCTCTTTTTTTAAAAAAAAGACATTTATGTATTTGAAATTCTAAATGTCATTATCTGTAGGAGCAGGCTTGGGTAACAGGCAAAAAGACAATTCTGGCTTCCCAGGTGCTAAATGGTGTTGGTGAGTTGGAGTTTGAGGAGAGAGCTCAAGCTTAGGCCCATACTGCTCAGAGTGTTGCGGAAGACAGGGGCACAGCCTCTGTCTTGAATACTATTATTGGGGTGCAACCTGGTCTGGTTTTGTGGAGGTTCAAAGAAAGAGAGGAGAGCATGGCCCCTACTTGTGCCCTGGAGGCGAGAGTAGGGAGGGGGCTGTGTTACTAAGCTGTATAAGGAATGAATCAATGGACAGAGTGCACAGCCAGCCTCCCCATGTGGGAACTACTCTAACAGTGATGTTGCTGGCTGTTGGTATTTTGTGTTCACAATCAAAGTATTTGGAGGTCGTGAAGTGTTTGCTTACGATGAAGGCAAATTCCTGCCTTCCCATTGTGCCTGTATATGTAAACTACAAGAGTCAGTTTTTTCCTAGTGTAAATTTTTGTTGTTAATTTCAGTATTTAGTTCAACTACATGATTATGTCATTTTATCTAGAGCTTTCCGAGTCAGCTTAAACTGATTTTCATCACATATTTAGTTCTGTATTGCAGTATGAGTGATAAGTAAAAAGTCAAAGGAGTCATCTTTATCAGCAGGAGCATAGTATTGATGTTTGGTGCATGAGAGATGAAAATGGAGTATGGATGAGGAAAGAAAGAGTGTCTTTCTATGAATAGTTTTGATTACTGACTTTTTTTTTTCAGATATCTTCTTTCTTATAAACAGTGGTGATTACAGAAATACAATAGGTTATATGAACTTTTTGATTGGAAATTCAGATTCTGCATGATAATCTACAACACATAAATCATGTAAATGATCAGCTGATGCAGATGATCATAAAACTCTGTCTTGTGCTGTTGAGATGTCTGGTTTTGTTTCTGGTTGACTCCAAAGGCAATGTATTTTGCAGGTTGGACATATACCTAAGTGAAATAAAATGTATTTCTGTTACACATAATGAAAAAATATGTATTTTGTGGCAAAGAGAAGATTTCAAGCAGGTTTTTTTGTGAATAATTGTTTACTTTTGTCTTATCTGAAAGAAATAGATTTGGCTTATTTGTGAATTTTGATGGAGAAAAGCTACTGCTTTTTCCAGTGGCAGGTGTTTAGTTATATATATGAGTTATTTCTAAAAATATAATTTTGAGAGTGAATGTGAAAAGACTCTTGATCAAAGTGAGTGTTGTGGGTGTTAACTCTTTCAAGACTGTAGGCAACTGGGGAGTAAATCACTGTTCCATCAAAAGTTCCAGAGGAGTGAACCAACGAGGTAAAAAGAAATAGCTAAATCAAAGATGATTTGAAGGGTTGGTATGATTTACTTGTTTATAACAACACTAAAGTTAAGAACTGTTATAGACTTTCTAGTAATATTGGAATCAGGTCAATAACCTGATTTCTCAGACAAGGGAGTTCATTTAACCTCTAAATTTTGGAAGCAGCAGCTGTCTCTTGATGTCTAAGAATGTAGTGATGATAGTATCCTATTAAAATACACCATTACATACCCTTGTGCATCAGATAGATTATGTCAACTTGCTTCAAATTATGTGTAAATGGATAAGATATGTGCCTATAAGCCATACCCAGTGCCTATGGGCACTTAATTTTGGGAAATTTTATGTGGTTATAAATAGTCAAATTGTTTCCAAATATTCATTAAGCTAAATGAATCTTGGCTACCTCAAGTGGATTGTTTACTAAGTATTCATGAAAGGTTGGTGTTTGTTTATTTGAATGTCTACATTTTCCTCTCTGTTTGAATGGTGAAATATTATGGAAATTATTTACATTTGATTATATACCAGTTTAGTGAAAGTATTGTTCATTTGTCTGAGGTTTAGAGCCTGTCAAAAAATAGCTCTGTATGATGTCTTACATAAGCCAATACCTTTTCCTGTACTCTTCTCAACTCATGTAACTTGTTATTTTTCTGAAATAATTCTTGGTAAGGGGAGTGCTAATGCAGATGTGTGTGAATAGTAATTTCACAACATAAGAACAAGTGGTTTTATTATAGCCACAGGAGGATGGTACTCTGGCCCTGACTGTTGCTATTATGGGTACGTCAGCCTCCTCCAGATCTTGTGGAACTCTGGTGTAGGAATGCTTGCAATCCATGTGTTCTTCTTACTTGTTTAGGAGGTAGGATGTCTTTGAGAGAGAATATTGGTTTCCTTTACCTTTTCAATGATTGAATATTCAGTTTGGTAACTCAGATGAGCATATTCTCAGTGTGTACTAAGTACTTAGGAAGATGTACCCCTCTCTCCAGAATTTAAAAATCTGTTCCCTGATCTTCGAGATTTCATGTCACTGAAAATGTTTCTTTTTTTTCTATATTTTACGATCCGCAATACTTGTGTGATAAAAAGGTATAAAAGTTAGGAGATTATTTGTCACATCCCTAGGAGGAAAACCCTAACCCTTTCTATCAGATGTTTGAAGATAGGTTTAAAAATCTATTCACTGATACTAAATCAGAACTGCACAATCAGTTAAGTAATAATTGTTCAGTCCTTGCTATAAGCATTTACTACAATATGCAAATTATTCCGAGGCCCATTTCCCTGTAATTCTTTGTGTTTGGGATGACCCTGGGGTTAACAACTCAGCTATTGAAGAATGTACTCCCTGGTGTCACACAAGGAGCTGCTTCCCTTATTGAACTTTCTAGTTTATTAATAATAGCTGAAAACACAAAGAATCAAAACAGGATTTTAAAATGTGGTATATTTGAAATTCCTGTATTTAACCAATTAATGTTTTAGCACATACACAGAAGACCATGAAATATAATTGAACTTTTCACAACATTGTGATAGTACTGGTAGAAAATGTTCTTGCTAATTTCTCTGAGGCCTGGTGTGAGCTGGTGATGGGACACAGCTGTGTCCTGTCTCTTGGTGCCTGTTTATACCCTCAGGTAGAGATATCGTGCAAAGTGTTAAGATGAGGCTATTGGTGAATGTGTGGCCCAGCCACATGGGCGTGGAGAAAGGCTGGGCTTACTCTTAGGGGTGCCAGGATGTGGGTTTCTGGCTGTGGTCTGTATGACTTTCACAAGAATGTGCAAGGGTAAGAGACGGGCTCACCTGACTGCCAGTTTCCTGGGCAGTGAAGGGAATTAGACTTGATTCTGTACTTCTTCCAGACCAGAACAATTTAGTCAGTCTCTGGATTGGAAACATTTTTCTCTTTTTTCCTTGGCCTCTTCCCAAAGGAACTGCAGTAGCTGGTCCCCTGTAAATATTGCATGCAGTGACTTCAGCCTGAGAGATGTTTAAAAGCATTGAAGGAAGATCTGTCCCGTGACATGCAAAATTCTCAACCTTTGGGATGAGACAGTAATCTGAGTGGTCAAGTCAATTCGAGGCCTGAGGGAAACTGCAATCATCAGTCACACACACAGGGCCCTCATCTGGGTGTCTGGAGAAGGTCAAGAACAGAGGAGACCAGCCAGGTCTCAGGCAGAACCAAACAGGCACAGCCGAGCCCTCTGAGGAGAGCCTCAGCCCAAGGGAGTGATGGGGTTTGCAGGACAGTGCTGGGCAGCAGGCTGAGCTGAGGAGTCAGGACAGGAAGCTAGACTGTGAGCATCCCTCATCTAATACGAACTACAGAAGGCAAATTCTGCACAAATCTACTCCTATCATCTGAACCAGGCAGAGAGAGCCACCTGCAGCTTTGTGCGGGTGGTGTATAGGGTCAGGTGGGGACATTGTTTATTGGCTACTTCCCTCTCCTCAATGTCCTTATTTATCCACGACTGCCACTTTTTTGTATATTATTCTTCCATTCTTCCTCATCTTCCTCTTCTCCTCCAACTTCTTTCTAATGCTTTGAATGAAAACAATAAAGATATTGGAGCAGACTCATACATTATTTCATTTTGACGCAAGAACAGAACCTCTACATGTTGCACTTGTGGATGTGGATAGTCAGGTGAACAACTCTGGTTATGTGACCACCTCCTCCTCCTCTTCATCCTTCTTCTTTTCCTCCCATCTCTCTCTCTCATCTTCGGGAAGTGGCTTCATTTTCCTGAATGGCTTCTCTCCCTCCACTTCCTCCTTTTCCTTTTTCTCCACCTTCTCTCATTCACCTTGGGTCTTCAGGAAGTGGCTCTACTTTAGCTTAGGAAAGAGGAAACTGAGTGACTCAAGAAATATTTCTCTTTTTGTTGTTTTGTTGTTGTTGTTGTTAATAGCCCACTGAGGAGCAAAATTAAGTTAAATTTAAATTCTTTTGTGACAGGATACTTAGAAATGAGATGGAATAACACTTTGTCAGGTAAGGTGCTACTCAGGTGGCCACAACTTATTGTAATAGCTAAATTGTTTCATTCCTCCCCACTAGAACTAGTTTTTTCCCTTTGGAAGTATTACTGCTTCTGCTTCGGTTGAAAATGTATGGAATAGCAGGAAGTAGATGAGTGTGTTTCCTGCCTCTGGCTTATGGCCTTCACACAGGCCCATGGCTATCAGCATTGGCAGCTGGAATACAGAACCTAAAGCAAGCACAGGAAGAAAATCACCCAAGGATCAAGCAGTGATTTGGTGGTGGCACAAGGGCAGCTTGTCTGGAATTCCAGCTCCCTGGAGAGCCAGGGGTCAAAATTAGGGTTGCCCAGTGGATGGAATCTGTGTGGTTGTCCTGAAGAAGATGTCTCCGCAAGAGCCACACTCTTTCTTTCAGTGAA